TTAGGGATGGTCTTACCAAACCTGACTCTCGTCCTCATCTCAGTTCCATTACGTGTTCTGTTTTCCTGAATTTGCCCATGCTTTATTTATGTTGGCACCTGGGCTGCTGTGCTGGCCTCTTAGAGCAATGGGTGCCCTTGCAGGAGCATACGTTCTGCTACATTTGTGTCACACATTCACTACACAACGAAGGGCTGATGCTAGGAGGTTCAAGGAAATGTCAGCTTGTGATGGGCGTGAAGCTCAGCAATGCTCCTCTAGCTTGCAGAAGAAACATTACTTTAAATTGATCTGGCATTTGCAAAACCACAGTTCTAATAAATATTTCACTAGAGGGTGCTACCAGCTTTTATGGAGACAGGGCAATCTCCGAAGACTCCAAATCTGATCTAATTCTTAGACTTGGGACTATTTTTGAACTGCCAACTGAATCAAATAGTAATTTTTCCTTAATATAAGTCTAGCTAAAAAAAAAAAAAAGGTTCTATAGTCCCCATAAGGGTAGGCATGATACCCAACCATGCCCCTCGTGTGAAAGGGAAACCCAAGAAGTTGTTGAGGTTTGGAGACGACCACGTGTCAGTCTGTAGTTAGTGAGAACCCACAAAGTGCATGACCGAGGACACAAAGAAGAAAACTCTTCTCCATGTGTTCACACTGGGCTGCAGTGACCCTCAGTTGTATTTCTTATTCTTCATACCTTGTCTGTCTCCTCTCTGAGGCTGAGACCAGCATGTGCGGCTTTATGTGACTGCTGAGTGCCAGAGTAGTGGCTCACAGACAGATCTTCGCTCAAGAACAACCCAGGCATCTGTCCGCACATGCTGTCTCCCACTCCTGAACCAGCCCAGACGCCCATCTCAGCTCTTCTTTGAGTTCAAGTAAAAACACTGGCAATGGAAATCCAGACAAGCTAAGTAACCTGCCCAAGGTCACACAGCTTTCAGTAATAAACTCAGATTACAACCCAAGATGGCCAGCCACAGCAACCCGAGCTTATGACATTGACCGCCAGGCTGTTGCTACCTTTCAATGCGGTTGCTGTGAGCTGTATGGCTGGGGCATTTTGTAATCAGAGTAATAATAAGCCACTTTACTAAGAAAAATAATCTGTGCAGAGGAAAGCCAGGTATTTGCATGGTAGAAAGAGAACAGGAGTTAAAGCAGAAGACTAGATGTTGATAATAATGCTGACAATAACGAGGCTTGTAATTGGAGCATCAATTAACCCCACTGAAGGTTGGCTTCACCAGATTTAAATGAGATTAACAATACTGGCTTCTCCAGTCTTATGAAATCAGAGAAACCATTTAACAGTGTCTAAAACAGCTCTTGACCCTAAGTAAATACTCTTTAAGTGTTAAGGTGAGTGAAAGATAGATAAGAGATGCTTCACAGATACAACATTGATTGGCCCTGAAGAGAGTGTAAAGTTCATGAAAAAGGACAAAATAAAATCAAAGGCATGGAGAATATTCAGTAAATGCATGTGTATGTGATGGGTATTTGTGTATAATACCTACCATTTATGTGAAATCTATCATTTACTGGGGTATCACTATGTACCATCACTCTACTATGGATCATGGCATCAGTAACCATGGTTTAGGGGATTTTGTTATATACTTTGGGTTTCGTCATTGCATGCATTTTACAGATGCTTAACCATGGGCTGTCCTGAGGACATGGTGGTTTAACAGAGTCTCTCTGCAGATGTCTGTGAAACCCAGCATCAGGCTGTGCTTGGTGCAACGATGAAAAGAATATTTTTGTGTGTATGAAAGAAAATACATTGAAGAAGATATGCTTAGGGAAAACATATAGATTTACATATGCAAAATGTTAATTGGGTTATCTCTTCAGACTTTTCTGTTAACATTTTTTAAATCAGTAAAATTGTTATTTTAATAAATTATTTAAACATACACATTTCTTTTTTCCAAAATTAACAGACATAATATGTCTGTTAAGCTGAAAAACCATCACGAGAAGAAAAGAAATTGTTTTCAATAGATATTCCGTTAGTGTGAATTCAGGAGTAGCTTTGGATGTTTTTATAACCCACTATTTTATACTCTCATCATTTCAGTTTTATTTGAAGTAGGATTAAAAAATAATAAATGTCGATTTTTATACATTGGAATAATTATCAGTTGGAATACACAAAAATGTAGTAAATACATTGAGCATACTAAATGCATTTCAATTATTACATTTTTTTTTAGGTTTTAAAGACAGCCACATTACTTACCATGCTCTGGAATTTCAAAACTTTGCCCAAAAATGACTCCTCCTGAGACGTACTCCAAACTGTAAGCCTCTCAGAGAGTCTTGAAAAGTCTCTTTTGGAAAAAGTCAGATGTGTGGTCTCCATAATGAATCATAAAGCCAACAAACAGCATTACCTGTTGCTCTTTGTTTGTTTGTTTTTTAAATAAAAAGTTTATTTAAAAAGGAAGGGAGGAAGAGAAGAAGGGAGGGATGGAGGGAGAGAGGGAAGATGACAATGCTGTTACTGTTTATTCCCCAGGGGAAATATCAAAGTAAGCAAAATAGAAGCTGCCTTGAATTTGCATGTTTTCACCAGAAAAGAAGAGATGTGACTTACACTTCCCTACAGTGGTCTCATGTGTAGTGAGAATTCAACTCACAGAGTGAGAAGTGGCCCTGGGAAATCATCCACCTGAAAGGCCTGTCTTATAGATGAGGACAGGGCCTGAGACCATGACCGTGCTCTAGGTGACACAGGCTCTGACTGCAAACCCATGGTTAACTAAGCAGGCAGTATCTACATTTCAAAAAATTAGAAGAAATAAAGTTAGCTATTCATACAGCTTGTCCTTTTGATATATGAGAACCTTGCTAGAGAAGAACTGAACTATTTTTGGAGGGGATTAAATCCATTATGTCAAAGTCTTCTGGAATGATATTTTAACTTTTGCTTTCTCTGTTGTGATGGGGTATAGAAAGCAGGATTAATGCCTAATTATGTAGTTATTTTTATGTATGTAGTTAATGTAGTCATTTCTTTAACTATGTTCTCTCCAGACCTAGCTTTCAGCAACTTGAAAAGAACACACACAATCTAGCCATAGTTAATCCATCTTTCTACAAGGATAACCCCAGAGTCTTCTAATAGTTCCAGCAGGTGGTAGAACTGGACTAACTGGGTTTGAATTCTGTGTCTGACTTTGACTAGTTAGATACTTGAACTTGGGCAAGTGAATTAATCTTGCATAAGTTACTTAACCTCATCCTATCGTTGTTTCCTTATCTGTAAAATAAAGATAATTTTAATACTTCTATCCTGCATGTAAAGTGCCTAGTGCAATGCCTTTCACATAGTAAACGTTCAATAAATGTTGACTATTGGTAAATGCTCAAACAGTTATTATTGGAGAGATGTGTTAAGAGAAAAAGAAAGAATTGCCACAAAGAAGAAAGCTGTTGATTCTTGTTTAAACCATCCCAGCTCCTGTTATTTTCCACATTTCAGGAATTCTAGCATAATTTCTCCTGCTCATGAGAGAAAAGAGGGGAAAAGAAGCCTAGCTAACTTTTTATAAAACAGCAGAACCCTACTGTCATATGCACTTATAAGGCAGGGTTTGCTCCAAAAACTTAGGGCACAAATTTAGCTACCTTACCTCCTTCCCCCAATTAATAGAACATTTAAGTATGCCATTAAAAAAATCCACTCTCCACCTTTGTCCAAGGGTTTACTCAGTGGAAAGGGGTCAGATCTCTTTCAAATGCCAAGTGGAGTGAGAAATGGCCTTGCATTGCTTTATACCTCCTATTGCTGCTCCTGTCCAGACACTGGCCGCTCAGTGGATGAGCCCACAGATGCCCCAGGCAGCACCCAGTCAGGGCCCAGCTCCGGCTTCTGGCCTGGTGATTGGACTCTGAGACCAAGGTCATAGGACAAGCATTGCTGTCCAAGACACACACCTGCTCTGCTGGGGGCTGTGCACATGGGCTGCTGCCTGCAAAAGCCACATGCTTTCCGGCCATTCCAGCCCTCGCTACAGACTGCAAACCCTTTTCTCAGAACATGGATCATCGACCCGGATATCACTTCTCCCTTTAATCATGGCCTATTTTTATAATTAATTAATTATTATTTTTTTACCTAGGCCTCATATCTGCCTCCTCCCCAGCTGTATCAGCTGCTAGGACAAAGCACCACAGACGGGGTGGCTTAAAGAACATAAATCTGCAGGGTACATGCCCAAGGCCAAGTGTCCATAGGACAGGTTGCTTCTGAGATTCCTCTCCTTGGCTTGCAGGTGGCAGGATTCTCCCTGTGCTCTCATGGGGCCCAGTCTCTAAATTCTGAGGTCCTGGGAGTTAGGACTTCAACATTTGAAATTTGGAGGAGACACAATTCAGCATATAACACCAACTATTAACCCCCTTTGCTTAGGGTATAAATTGACTTTTTATTTTTTAAATTCAAGAAGGGGGGTAGGTGGAGAGGAAGAGAAGGGGAGGGAAAGAGAAAGAGGTATATACCCAGGGAGGTCTCTCTATACCAGTGGTTCTCAACCTTCTGGCCCTTTAAATACAATTTCTCATGTTGTGACCCAACCATAAAATTATTTTCGTTGCTACTTCATAACTGTAATGTTGCTACTGTTATGAATCGTAATGTAAATATCTGATATGCAGGATGGTCTTAGATGACCCCTGTGAAAGGGTTGTTCGACTGCCAAAGAGGTCGCGACCCACAGATGGAGAACAGCTCTCTATACTGTTTTGTTTTTGTATTTTTCCAAAACAGTGGGCACCCCCTGCTTACCTTACCAAGGCAGCCACTTAAGAGGCTGTTCAGACATTTAAAGGGCACCCCACAAAACTCGGAAGCCCCTGTAAAAGAGGTCCCCAGAGCTCTCTGGTTGAAATGGGAGCGGGGGTCTGGACCCCCTTTCTTCTCTCCTCACTGACAAGCATCCTGTAAGACCTCTGGCCTGGAGGATTCCAGGTGTCCGGGCCACTTCCGTTACGTTTCCACAACTACACAACTCACCAAAGTTGAAATGAGTGAGTCTATCATCTGAGGATCCTTAGCTTTGGAAACAAACTCTGTCACCAGGATTTAGTCCAGTTTCGCTCTGGAGCCCTGATGAGTCGGCCACCATGGAGCCTGGGCTTGCGTGGCCTGCTTTATTCTTCCTCTTTGCTTCTTTTGGGAGGTGGGCTTGTTCATCGCCCCGCTCAGCTGTGGTACCCAAGCTAAGCCGAGAGGGGGGAGTTACATAAAACCTCCCTGTGACCTGTTTGCACACACCAGCCTGGTTAACCCCGGGCAGAATGACAGTGACAGCTGCCTTGCAACAAACAGAGGGAGTGAAGGGTTCAGTTCCGCAGCCGCCGCCGCAGGGACGAGTATATCATTACAGCCCGGGGCTCCGAGAGACACCATCTAACCTCACCGCCTGTCCCGCGTCTCCTCTAGGACATCTGACCCAGACCCTCCGGGAGCTTCCTCCGCCCGTGACTGCCCGCCGGCCTGTCCTCACCTCCGCCTGCGCTCCAGGCCCGCGCCAGCCAGGCTTTCAGCAGCTGGGGTAGGACTCATCCCAGCCTTTGAGCCCCAGGGGGAGAGGGGGGAGGGAAAACACATGGGGGCCAGGCAGTCCAGGGCCGGTTGCAAGGACAAGGGCCCCGGGAGGATGGGCTGCCTGCGGAGGAGGCAGAAGTTGTCTGCCTGGGATGATGCCCTGCTCTCGGGAAGGGACCCCCGGGCCCTGCTGAAGCGGGGCCTGCGCCACATCAGCTTCAGCCTGGTCACCAAGGGGATGACGGACATCCCCGACTTCCTGTGGGGCTTGTCCGAGGTCCAGAGGCTCAATCTGTCTCACAACCAGCTGCGGGTTCTGCCCCCCGAGGTGGGCCGGCTGAGCCGGCTGGTGGTGCTGAACCTGTGCGGGAACCACCTGAAGAGCCTGCCCGCGGAGATCAGCCTCCTGCAGGGCCTGAAGGTGCTGTTCCTGAGCCTGAACCGCCTGAGCGAGCTGCCGGCCGAGCTGGGCGCCTGCAGGAGCCTGGAGGTCCTGAGCGTGTCCCACAACCGCCTCTCCCAGCTGCCCGCCAGCTTCGCCGACCTCTCCCGGCTGCGGAAGCTGAACCTCAGCAACAACTGCTTTGCTCACATCCCCGTCTGCGTGTTTGCTCTGAAGGAGCTGGATTTCCTGCACGTGGGCTCCAATCGCCTGGAGAACATCGCCGAGAGCATCCAGTGCCTGGGCAGCCTTCAGATCTTCATCGCGGAGAACAACAGCATCCACTCCTTCCCGCGCTCGCTCTGCCTCCTCGCCAGCCTGGAGGTGCTGAACTTGAACGACAACGACATCCAGACCCTCCCGGAGGAGCTCTGCCTGCTGTGCAGACTGGGGAGGATCGCTTGGAACCCCATGGACAAAGGGCTCCACATTTCCCATAACCCCTTAGCCAAGCCTCTGCCCGAGCTGGTGGAGGGGGGCCTGGAGATGCTGGTCAGCTACCTGAAGGACAAAAAGCACAGCTGAGTGGCCGCGGAGGCGGGAACAGCAGCCAGCTCGCCCGGACTCTGCCCACGGGGTACTTCTCTAGTCCCAGCTTTCTCCTCTTACTGTTGGGTTGGTCAAGGCGTGTGTTAATATTTGCTCAATTGTAGTTGAGTGGCATTCTAGGCAGGGGTTTCTAGGCAGGGGTTTGCTTTGAACTCTGCATGTTCCTAATAACCTCCAAAATATGGTCATATCATTCTAAATATAAATGGAAACAGGACTTCGGTTTTCTCCGAAGAGAAATAATTGCTCTAATTTTCCTGAGGAGCAATGGGACTCGGCCCTTGGAATAATGGTCAGCAGGTCTGATTCGATGGAATCCAAAAGTTAAATATTTACTAAGTATGTGCCAAGGATGGTGTGAGGCATTGGCAACATCTGGTGTCAACCCTTGAATTGGCAACCGGAGGCCAGGTAGCAACAGCAAGACACGCTCCTGCACCAGCCTGGACCAAGCCTTACTTGGGACCAAAGGGCCAGCTGGAGCCCTGTCCTTCTGGTGATGACCAAGTTCGGCAGAGCTTTCCCCTCGAGTTCAGGGGGGAACAATCAGGGGAAACGTGTCTCTAAAATGCCTGTAGAGTAACAATCAAGCTGCTCAGGTTTGCGTGTGGTGCTGAGTGACTGGCTCATGATGGCTTTTAGATAATAAAAACAACCCGGTTTTAATGTGCAGTTTCAACCTTCTTTCCCAATCCTCTTGACCATAGTCATGTCCCTGAGTTTTCCTAAAGATGCCAGCCATGCTTGTCATCCTTTCTAACTTCCCTTCTCCTCCCTTACTGGGTCTGCCCTCTCAGAGATGAGATAATAATTGAGGAAAAAGAAATGGCCTTAAGGCAGGAAAAAGGAGGTAAGGCATAGACAAGTCACACACAAAATGTAATTGCCCTTCTAACATTCAGGGGAGGGCGATATTTGCCACTTGGCTTTCACTTATGAACACTTAAAAAGGACTTTAGTGACTTTTTTTAAAGCTCTTTGGACAAAAGGCTATAAAATATTACATTTGTTTTATTTTTAATTATAAAATACACAGCTGTTAGTTAAATGTGATAGCAGGACAAGCAATTTTAGAGTTCCTGCCACAAGGGTCACTAAGTCTTACTGTTGTCACAGTAGCCGAGAGCCCCTAAAACATTTACTGTGTATTAAGAGTTAAAGAATTAGGATGAAGAGGTGGCAGTGAAGAAAGTACAGCCCCTGCAGGTCAATGGAGAGCCCACTGTTCAAGTGTCTTGGCACTTTTGACTGTAGAATATGGCTAACTATTTTGAGACAGAATTTGGGTTTGCTGCCAAGACTTGTCTAACTTCTTAATGCCCCTTGGCTTAATTCAGTTAAACTCATATTTGTTAGCACCATCTCTTCACTCCCGTGGGCGGGAACCCGAGAGGAGTAAAGCTCTGCTCCTTCTACCAAGGAGCCCACACTGTGGTGAAAAGGACAGAAACCCACGTGGCTTCCTGTGATGTGCAGCAAGCTGTGATCCCTCTCGAGAGAAATGTAAGTGACGGGCTGGAGTGAGGGGAACACACTGGAGGGTGTAGACTAGACCAAGCCCCAAGGACTCAATAAACAAAGAACAGTAACTAAAAAAACAAACAAACAAACAAAAAAACAGGACTGGGGGAAATCAGTCAAACCCTTATCCCCTACAGCCATTGCACCCTAATTCCTCCCTCTCCTCCCTTTATTCCCCGTGGGAAAGAGCAGCAAAGGGCTGGGGCACTGGGTCTGAGCACAGGCAGGTTTAGTATGGAGCTGCCGTCTTCTAAGAGCTGCTCAAAGAGGATCCATATCATTTATTAATAGGATAGGTGATTTTCCAAACAGACTTCCAAGTCAATTTCCCACTCACAGAAGACGAAAGTTGTTATCATCAGATACGATAGGTCATTAGCACATCTGCGCATGAGCTCTCTGTCAAACCATTGCAAACAGATCTTACCAGTGTCACTGGGCGGCAGCTGAAGTCCCCTCTTAAATTCCCCCTCCAGCAGCAACCGGAGACCTGCCTCTCCCTGCCAGGCACACACGGGCACACTCCAGTATCTTCACCCACATTAGTCTGCCAGAGCCAAGACTATTTAAAGACATCAGTGGAGGTTTTACTTGACCTCATGACTCAATGGGAAATTGCAGGGCGAGCCTCTGCAGGATCACTTACCGAGCGCTGGCTGGAGCACAGGCAGCTGTCAGACAGACACCGGTGGGTGCCAGATCACGCCTGTCCGTGGCCGCTGCTGAAGAACCAGTTGGGCTCCCGCCTAATTTCCATGATCTTGCTGTGGACGGAGAGGCTGGCTGGGACAGCAGCACCCCAGTTCTCCTGTTGAGCAATCATTTTATTTCCTCTCCTTGCTTTTCCAGTCACTTGACCCCAGAGTAACTTTACTCCAGAAAAAGAACCTAACCATATATTGAAAGTGACCCAAGAGCTCATTATACTTTTTATGTGAGAAAAAAAAAAAGTGTTATCAACATAGTGTCAGGCTTCCATTGGTGCTTTTCAAAAAGTACAGCAGCAAGGTTTTCTTTGTTAACACTTAGCATTGAGGAAATCATAAAAGTAATAGTAGTTGCCTAATGTTCTTTAGATATTGATTCTTTGTGAATGCTCCTTTTTATTGATAAAGGGAAGTGCTGATTATAATCTGCTTAGTTATTCAAAACAGGAATGTGGATGGAGTTTGATACTGCCTTCAGTGTTTCTCTGTCAAACCTACAGTTTGCTGATTGACTGTGAAGTGCTTCTTGTGTATCTTGTCGTAGTTCAAATACTGCCACATTCAAATAACTCCCAGGTATTTCTAAGGCTTCTGAAACCAAAGCACTGGAGATGACTGCATTGGCTGCGGAATATATTTAGCCAAAGAATACCAGCTAATTGGGAGCTTGATGCAGGAGCTGGCTGCTCACAATCTTGATGATCCTATGGTTTTCATGTCACTTGGCTCTCAGTACAGAGCAATCTCAGTGGTGTGTTCAGAAACACTATTTAATGCAGTGGCAGCTTACAAGCATACAATTAAGAAGAAATCCTATGTTCATAGGAAAGAAAGATGGCTTTGAAAAGACACATCTGTTCCAGGAAAAATACTGCTAAATGCATAAAACTGATGTATATTAGAAAGAAAAAAGTAGTCATTACTTAGCTTGTCGACTTAATAAACAGTTAATAGAAGAAATGTACTCCATGCTCAGGCTTCAGTTAATAGACTGCCTTTCTGTAACAACCAAAGATAGAGTGACTTCAGGACTCTGCACCCGTACTTCACAGTGATGTCATGTTTGTGCTGAAAAGAGATAAAGAGGGAATGCTGTCACTATTTGCAAGGATACATTAAACAAAATCCTTTTCTTTTGGTAACGGATTATTGCATTTAAAAATTCATATGCCTCAAAGCACATACCAAATATACATTTGATAGCTGTACATTAAAAACAGAGGAAGGTTAAAGAACTGTGGGCTTGGTCACTGGAAAACACGTGGAGATATCAACATGGACTGGGTTGATTCATTTCAGTAATATACAAAGACTAGGGCGAGTCTGAATGGACTCACTGAGATTCCATTGCAAATGGTGAAAAATAGAAGATGAGTTCAGGAAATGGTCTAGAAAGAGAGAAAAAATGCAAAAATTTGAGCTGTTAGATTTAGCCAATTTGAAGTTACTAAATACTCAATTATTCCATCCATATCTACTTCAGTAACCACATGTGCTCTATCTTCTTACTCCATTAAAGAATGCTTTCCAGTTCTGTGAAACATATACTTGAGAAACACAAAATATCCAGCCTAGATTAAATGTGCAACTAAGTAACAGTACCTTTGATGATGCAACTAAGTACTAGTACTCATTATAATTCATCCAAGAACAGCAAAATACAACTCCGTCAGATATTTTAAGAAAACAAAATAAAAATATAGAGAAACAGTAAAGCTATTATAACAATAATGGGAACAATCTTGACCTTGTTGAGAAAAGAACTTCTTACAAGTGTTCCTTTTAAGTTACCTGTCAAGTTACATGTTGAATCCAAAGCATTACTAATTTAAAAAGAAAAGGAAAGGACAGCATAGTAATAAAAGGGAAGCAGAGAGGGCTAATAACAAATCTGTAGGAGCGGGGGCATCATTAGGAACGCATAACGGAAAGCTATTAGCATGAAGCTTGCTGTACAGATTTTTTTAGTAGTGTCATAGGAATCTACTTGCAAGGAGAGACTTTATTTCCTAATGTGTCTAGACTTATTCCTTATTTCAGCACAAGACAGAAAATAAAAGATGAAGTGTCAACGTATTTCCTGATACCTTTGTGAGAAACATACACTATGAAAGCTAGAAGACTATTGGCTGTGATGGTATGAGTTAGAGCTGCCAATGGAACACCACATAATCACCCACATTCTTTGCTCTTGAGTGACTTGAGTTTCCTAGAAGTCAGGGTGCCAGGACATGCTTTGGGGAAGTCTATTATCTTCTGTCTCTGGAACATCATGCCCATCGCCATATGCACGCATGAGATAAGAGCCCTATGGGATGGCGGGAAAAGCTCCCAGCTGAGAGCTGGCCATGTCGATTGCATAGCACTTCCTGAGTACCTGTGCATCCTAAGACTAAGACGGTGCGGGTGTTGGGGACTTAGCTTGGGAACTAGCTCCCATCCTCCACAGGGTCTTAAGTCCATGGACAAAGAAGATGAGGCTCAGCTCAACACAATGCAATCCCATGATTACAACTGCCTTAACAGGTGCATAAACAAGTACAAAGGCATGTGGGTGAGATGGCAGGAGGGACAGACATGTGATGTGATGAAATGGTGTGGAGAACACACAATCTAACATGACAGTTATTGACCCAGCGGTTATCTTGTTTTAGTTTGCCTTGATGAAAAATGTGTGAATCTCACTGTCCTAGAATGGTCGGCTGTATAATACCTACCTGAATCTAAGATGTTGGGAAGGCCCATGATGGGAAAGTCTGCATATTATGATAATGGCCACAGCATGTGTCACGGGCTCCAGAGGTACTCCCGAGCCGCTCCTACCCCACTGTGTGGGAAGATTTTTCCTGAGGGTTCTGAAAGAAAGGTTGGCAGTGGTCCTCAAAGCTGCGGCTTGTCAAAACCCCCGTGGAACTAAAAAAAAAAAGGAAGAAAGCCCTGGGCCTTAATTTGAGGGATTCTGACATAGTTAGTCTGAGGGAGGCCAGGGCTTCTTTAATTTGTCTTTAAAGCTCAGTAGATAATCTGTTGCTGACACTGAACTGAGAAATAGGCTCCTACCTAAAAAGTCAGAAATGAGACTTTTAAGCCAATTGGGTGAAGAGCTAACCAACTGAAAAAGGGCAGTAAAAGGTGGGAGGTCACTGACCAGCAGGTGAAGCTCTGCTGGTGCCTCCTGATTAGGTTCATCTGGACACTTGTTAAAAATTAAAAGTCCCAGGTCTCATTGGTATCCTTTCAGATTAAGGAGTTCGAGGGCAGGGCTTGGTGTCCTTGGGTCCAACCAGCAATCCAGGTGTTCCCTATCAAACCGGATGGAGAGTGGAGAGAACCTGGGCTAGCACAGTATGTGCCCTCTGGAAAATGGTAAACACTGTATGTATCCCAGACTCAGCGGCTACC